GTGTGTGTGTGTACACACACACACACATATCTATATACACACATCTATATAGATGTGTGTATATAGATATGTGTGTGTGTGTGTGTGTGTGTGTGTGTACCCCGCTCTAAAGTCACTTAGACACTCCTTGATCTTTGCCTTTGTTTTAACACACCTGCCTTCATTCAATCTGTGATCGTGTAAACCTCACCCCTCACGATGATGTCCCCTAAAAATAACTTTTATTTTGTGTGAGATATATATATATATATATATATATATATATATACACACACACACACACACACACACACACACACATATCTATATACACACATCTATATAGATGTATACATATATACATCTCTCTCTCTCTCATGCTATTTTATTTATGACAAAAAAAATGCACTAAATTCACTTCGCATTAGCTCGTAGCCTTGAAGCTATTTGCGATGCTTTTACTTTAATTTTAGACAAGGTTAATGGCTACCGGTTGGCTTGAAGTTTCCTCCATTTTGTCTGTGTGCTTTGCTGAACTTGCTTCTACTATGCCAGCACAAGTGAAAAAACAAAAAAGCTTGTGTGGATTAGTTTTCACATGGGCCAACATGAGAAGTGCAGCTAATTCTCAGATAAAAACCGGCAACACTAACCGTGATGTCATCGTTATCTCGTTTTGCTCCTCTCACGTGTGCATTTTGTATAGCTTGCCTGCCAACTCGTTCTAAGTCCATCCATGTTTTTAGCATTCTGATTTCTCGTTCAGACACATTATTGATGTTCTTGTGGTTCTAATAATTATTGTTTAGTTGGATGTACAGTTAGATAACACAGAAACTTCTACTGTCATGTGTCTCTTTTCAATAAAGACCAGAATGATGTTCACTGACTGGTTGAAAATGCACCTGCAACATCTACTTAATTTCACAAGAATCCAAGGACTGAGCTGGACTGCCTGGCAACTCCACTTCACCCAACAACAATCAAAAAGGATACTTAAATAATGATTCAAATTGAGCTAAATTATTATTCATATTGCAGCAGTAAAGTAAATGTTTCAAACGAACAATTCTTTGGGATTAAATGAAAATATTTGTAACTTTCAAGAAGGCTGGTACTCGGCAGCTATTTATTCATATACCACCATTGAGTCGTGTGAAACTTGCGGCCCGGGGTCCAAATCTGGTCTGCCATTTTTTGGTTTTGGCCCACTAAAGCAAAAACTGCATTTGTATAATTATTCTTGCTAACATCTGTCCCAAACTTCCAAATTGTTTCATGCACCCTCCACCCAAAAAAAAAAATTCTTTATATGGATGGACAAGTGCCGATACCAGGTATCGGTATTGAGCTGATACCAACCTTATTTATAGGAATAAGGCACTCATGGGGACTGCCAATACCAGCCACAATACGTAAGGCAAAGAAAATCTGTCATCGAGTCAGGGGTGCCCAAGTCCGGTCCTCAAGAACCCCTGTCCAGCCTGTTTAATATGTTTACCTCCTCCAACACATCAGATTCAAATGATCAGGATCATTATCAGGCTTCTGCATAGCTTGTTGATGAGCTGATCATTAAAATTTGGTGTGTTGGACGAGAAAAAACTTGTAAAACAGGCTGGATAGGGACTCTCAATGATGGCACTTGGACACCACTGAAGTAAATCCTCCTCAATCCGTAGTTGGCGCTGTCCTGCACATCGGTGAATCTTCATATGCGTCAAAAATAGGTTTAATCACAATGTATCGTTGTTTAAAATGAAATGTTAAACATCAAAAGTACTGCCAATATCACCAGTATCCTTTATCGATGAGCACATAGAGTGAATACTCATATTGGTCTGCCAAAAAAAGTGGTGTTAAACATCCCAAGTTATAAGGATGATCGCCATCCATTCATTTTCTGATCCGCTTATCCTCATAAGGGTCGCGGTGCGTGCTGGAGCCCATCCCAGCTGTCTTCGGGCAGTAAGTGGGGTACACCCTGAACTCGTTGCCAGCCAAATAAGGATGATAGCACTCTGTAATATTTTACTGTAGAAAATAAGTGCGGTCATAACTTGATTGAACCAAATGTAAATAAATAAAGAGGGGTTACATCTTGAGTAATTTATATTGCTGTTACTCCTAGTTTAAGTGCTTTGGCAACCTGGGGGCAATTTATTAATTCCATCCATTTCCCGAACAGGTTATCCTCACTCGGGTCGCGGGTGTGCTGTAGCCTATTTCAGCTGTCGTTGATAGGTTAACCGATGGCAGGGCACACATAGATGATCAACTCACAGTCACATATACCATGTTTGTTTTTCGAAAGTGGGAGGAAACCGGAGTACCTTGAGAAAAGCCACGCAGGCACGGGGAGAACAGGACATGCATACTCTTGACAAGAAGGTTGGATCCGGATCCAACCCATCACCTCTGCACTGTGACGCGGATGTGCTAATCAGTCAACTGCCGCACCAGTATGAAACAGACATACATCTATACTTGGACATGGTCCTCAGCCGCTGCAGTCATAATTGGTCGGTTTATTTCGAAGAGGATAAGGGAAATGGGCCTGCAGTGAGTATTGTTAAATGATCTACATTGTCCACTCTTTGTGTTTAATTCTTCGTAGCCGCGACACTTGTGGTATTGGTTAGCCCGCAGTGCTACCAAACAATGCGGACCGGTATTGTGTGTTAGCATTAAGCTAAGCGCCGGACCTTGTTGTTGTAAGCAAAGGCCTTGTGGTGTGTGTATGTGTGTGTGTGGTTGTTTAAGATATAAAACAAGTTTTTAAATACACTTCTACTGATGCTGACGGATGATAAGTTATAAGTGAGAAATGTGATTGACTGGCGCTGCATTCAGGATGCTCTGCACCGGTCCTCTGCAGGTGTTCATGTGACGAATTTACAGAAAGTGAGTTATTTCACTTCACTACAGCTCACAGTTTGATATACACTTCTAAAACATCGCTCAACAACAACAATGACAACAACATTGCTCAAATTAAATTACCTGTCATTAATACTGATTAATAATACGCATCCGTGTGAAGTCACTGATCGTGTCAATGAGTTCTCTCAATAAGAATAAATGATAACAAAAGCGGATGATGTGCAACACTGTATTTCTATAAATCTCTGCAAGTGTTTATATTTTCAAATGTTCACTGTAAAAAAACATTGTATTTTGGCGGGGGCTAAAACTGCCAATGAAGTTGGAACAACTGGAAAATATAAGTTAATGACATTTCTGGCAATCGTGTTAGCACAGTAAAAGCAAGTTGTTTGCCTCAAAACAATTTGCTGAGTTGTTTTTACTTATATCTTATGTTGGGGCGACAATACGAGGGACAATTAGGTCTGTAAACTCATATTTATTTGTTGTGAAATACGGAAAAGCTATTTTTTGCATTAGCAAAAATTAAAATATTTTGTTGAATTGCTCAACTGAAAATTTTATCGAAGTTTGTAGCCTTGAAATTTTGACATCACCCAACTCTTTCTTTCTCCTTTTTTAGCAGTGTACAGCAGTTCTAGGAATTCACAATGTCCCGTCACCTGGGAGCTGTTTTTAGAATAGACCAAAGTGTACTATGTTGGTGACCTCATGCATAAACATTTAGACGGGATGAGTGCATCCTTTTGAGTTCATTTAGCATTTTTTCAGCCGACTGTGACGTGTCCCTCAAGCAAAATTCAATATGACGTCACGTTCACAAAAATCCTCAACATGTGACACCATCAAGAAATGTGTTCATGTGGGAGATCACCAACATTATTCTAATTATAAGTAAAATAAGATGGTGAAGGAATTCGATTGACTTAATTTTTTCTTTTTTAAAAACGTTTGTAGTTACGCTTGAGATTTTGTTATTTCATTCAAAAATCGGAAAATAGTGGCGAAAGTAACAGCGTCTTCTCTTGAGTGAAGACTACAATCAATCATTGACCAATATTGACACTACCGGTAACCAAAAATCCTCAATTATTTCAGTACGTTAATGAGTTCTTTTCATCGTAAAAAAAAATAATAATAAGACGTTCGACCTCAAACGGCGTGCGTGCGTGCGTGGGTACGAGGAGTTGATGTCAGTGAGAAAAACTTCAACTTTCCTGTTCTTCTAATTTTGATAATCATTTTTCATATGACTTGAATGTATTCCGAGTTTTCGGTTTCATTTTATTTTGGTGTTTCCGTTCGAGCTCCTATTATGACATTTTATTATAATTACAGTTAGAGATGTATCACGTGTATGTTGCACATACAGCACATTTGACAATAAAGTTGTACTTGACTTGAATTGATTTGACGTGACCCAGACAGTACCCCGTCGCTTCCTTCAAGCTTTACAAGCTTCTTTGTTTATTGTTACTATTGAAGTAAATCGTTCGTTGTCTCGATGTGTCAGCACTTTATAATATTGAAATTCGTTTGTTAATTGAAGGTATTTAGTTTTATTTAGGTTGTCGATGTAATTATAATTACTGAACTAAAATATAAAGACGTCAATTTATAATTCTAGAAATAGGCCTACACCTAAACTTTTATTTTTCAAACTGTATTTTTGTGGAAAACGACTGAATATGTTTTCACATTCCCGCTGCTGGAGGGAAAGACGCAATAAGCCATCCTCCTTCGTAAATTAGTAGAGTGTTTTACATTAACTAGTAAATGTAAGTGAAGTTTATTTAATTCCTTGTCGGAGTGGTGAAATGGTCAAATCATTTTTTGCCTCGACGTTTGGGGCCTTAGGTACCCTGGTTTTCGCTATTAAATGTTGACTTTCATTTCTAAAGGATCGACTTTGGAGTCCAAGGAAATGGATGCGGTTTAAAAAATAAACTCCCACGTAATAAAGAAAAAAAGAAGAGACTTGTTCTTTTTAATTGTTTTTGTTTTAATTGACACGTAATCACTGGAAGTCACTGAGCACACTTGAATTTAAATAAACTAGCAGCGTCTTTGTTGGGGGGGGGAGAAAACTCGTACAAAAAAATCACTTCCGTCCTCGGTACGTTTAGGTTACTGTATTGTCTCGTTATCATGGACATCATCGTCATCCTTTTCCCGTTCAAACTTTGTCCCTTAAATGAGGACATAATCGTCCTTTGTCTTTTTGTCTTCAATGAATTAATTTAGATCCTATTGCACTTGTTTAAAAATGCCGTTACATTTCTTGACTTTCCAGCTTTGGCCTGATTTTTTTTTTTTTTTTTTAAGAGAGCGAATTAAACAAGTGCCAAGTGCGCTGAAGAGAGGCCAGTTCTCGGCAGTGGTTCTCGAGGGTTCTAGGGTCGGCTCTGCTCCAGCTGTTGGTGCTGACTTCTTATTGCGAAGCGGCTCACGTGCACCGGGATGGGAACCACAATCTTGGGGTTCCGCGACGGTTCCCCGGACTTGTTGTTGACGTTGCCGGCTTTGACCCGTTTCCACTTGGCGCGCCGGTTCTGGAACCAGATCTTGACCTGCACCTCGCTCAGCTTGAGCGCATGCGCGATCTGGGACCGCTCGGTGAGCGACAGGTACTTTTTGCAGTGGAACTCTTTCTCCAGCTCCAGGAGCTGCTCGCTGGTGAACGCGGTCCGCCGCCTCCGGTTCTTACCCCCGCCGCCGCCGCCACCGCCTCCTCCGCCTCCCGGGGGGCCCGAGCCGGAGCCGGCCGAAGCGTGAAGGTGCAGGCCGTCATCCAGCCCGGCCGCCGCGGAGCTCATCATGTTGTCGTCCGAGCTGTAGTCCGCGTCGCTGTCCATCGAGAAAATCTCGTCTCTGCGCGCGCAGTCATCCTCTTTGGACTCGTCTGGACTCACGTGTCCTCGCGCTGACACCAAGATTAATGTGCACATTTCAAGAATGACGTTAATATTCAGCCACCCGTATTTTTATACACTCGTCTAAATGCTGGGTCAATAATATGAATGCTAATACTGCTACCCTACTTGTGTCAAATTGACTCAAAATACCAAAGAACACAAAGGTGGGTCAATTTGACCCAACGTTCTGGCTTATTTTGAGTGCAGTTTTAAGGGTGTTCCCAAGCTGAATGACTGAACACCCTGCAATAACAATAATAACCATACATCCATTATTCGAACCGCTGAAGAATAATAATGATGATGGTAATGATAAGAATAATAATAATAATAACAACAGAAAGCGGTTCCGATAATGGATAATAATAATAATAATACAGCATACTTTCTGAAAAGAATTTGGCCTCAATTAGTTAAACTAAAATCGAAACAACTATTTCATCATTTCTCGTCCAATTTCGAGTTTTAGAAATAAAAATCCCATTGCAGTCCAAAGTCGTACCTGCGGCTGTTTGCACAGACGTTTCCGCGTCTTCTTTCGCTGACACTGGCGCCAAACTCTTGGTGTCCTCAGCGTGCTTCCGGCCAGCGTCCTGGTGATGCTGGCCGGGCGAGAATCCTCCAGGAAGCGAGGCCATGAGCGTGGAGGTGAGAGCGAGGCTGGAGCAAAAACCGCCTTGCAACGCCGGGAGATGCGGTGGGTGTCCGGCCGGCTGCAGGGAAGCGGGTGGCGGCGGCGGAGGCGGCGGCGGTTGCAGCATCACCGAGCGGTAGGGCATGAACATGGGGTAGCCCGTGTACACGAAGTGTCCTGGACTGGGCTGCGGAGGCCCACCGATGAGAGAGTCGATGCTGAAGGCGGAGCTGCTTCCGAGTGGCCGCTGCATCACCACGAACGGCGGACTGGACGTCGCACTCATAGGAACGACGACGCCGGTGGCCGGACGACGAGCACTGTGCGCGGCCGGCGGCGAAGGGGCCACGGAGCCCAGCGGGCTTCAGGGGAGCCCGGGACGCTTCGTTGCGAGCCCGTAAGGCTTCAGGGGAGCCGGATGCACACGCATTCCATCCGAGCAGCCGTCAACTTTTACCGAGGTCCCTCACACCAAGCAGCTCCGCTCTCCTCCACACCCGCCAGTGCGTCCGTGGACGTTTTGCCATTTCAATTTGCGCTCCCTGCTGTTTCATTGCTCTGGTTGATGTCACGCCCCTCGCCGCACAACGCCGGCCAACGATTGGTCCGGTGTTAAGACGTCACACTGCCTTCGGCGTGGTGGATGAGTGACATTTGACACGGATATCTTTTTCTTTGATGGAACTACTTTTTTATTGTTGTTCTGTCTGTCTTTTCATGCTGTCGTTGGTACTCTTTACTGCCGTATCTAGCATTTTGTTTCAAAGAATTTGTAAGTCATGCAAACCTGATTGAGGAATAAATGTGGATCAGGAATGGGTAACTTAAATGCTGGAGGGGGCTACAATTTTTTTATCATGTGTTAGTGTAGACCACACACTTCCTAACGAGATATATGACAACATCATATTTTAAATATGGACAAAATACCCACACACACAAAAAAAAGAGGTGTTCTTAATATATTAAATTTTCGTAATACATTTTTCAATCTTAACCCAACAACAAAGGGCTTGAAGCAAACAACATAACCATATAATGTGATTATAATTATTTTAATTCCCCCAGTGCAAACGGCCGTCTTTAACAAAAATGACCAATCAAAGATGGCACAAAACTGCTAAACAGCAAGCCAAAATTGAGTGCAGGAACCCATTTTGGACATCTTTTTTTTTCTAGCAAAAATGGACGCATTCACTATTTTTGAGGAACTAACGTTATTGTGCATATCATTTTAAATATTCAACAAATTAATAGGCCTACTGACATAATATGGCAGTGTAAGTGCAACTAAGCCTTGTCGACCAACTAGTGGTGAATGGGGATATTACAATTGAAACTGCAGTCGACACCTGCTTACTCGCAGTTCGGCACCCACGGATTCGCATATTCTCAGATTTATAACATATTGTACTCTTCCATCTTTTTTCTAGGATTCTCCTGTTTCTAATATAAATGTATATTGAGTGTTGATAAGCATTTTTGAAGACTTTCGGAGGATTTAAAAAGAAAAAAAAATATTAAAGGGCCAATCACCCATCTGTGATGATAATCTTTGTCATAACAAAAAAAAGGGCGGGGGGGTGGGGGGGGGGACATTTGCGGTCACGCATGCGTGTCAGCGTCAGTTCAAGTTGGAAAATTTCACAGCGGATGTATCCTCTTGACTGATTACTGATTTTATTATTATTGATTAAGAAGTTTCACTGAGATCCTTTCTTTATAATCTACAGGTATCCATACTGCTTATATCTTATATTTTATATTGCATTCTGTACTGCGTACAGTTAATTTTTTTAGATTCATTTTGTGCATGCAAATACTTCATGTTTTTCGACTTTCTTCCCTGCAAAAGTTTGCTGCTGTAAATTGCGAATTTCTCTACTGTGAGACAAAGGTTTCTTTGTCTTATTTTATCCTTATTCTATTATATTTATTAGGCCATTTGCATTTTATTGAGCACCAGACCCCGCCCTTGCTGTATTGCATGCCTTTTAAAAAATATATATCATTGTTTATTCTTTTTGATGAATTATGGCCCAGAGAGCTAGTGGTTAGCACTTCTGCCTCATAGTACTGAAGTTGAGGGTTCAAATCCAGGCTCTAGCCTTCCCGTGTGGAGTTGGCATGTTCTGCCTCTCCTCCAACTTCCTCTCACGTTGCAAAAACATGCTTCTCAGGTTATTTGAAGACTCCAAATGGTCTGTAATGTGAGTGGGAATGTTTGTTGTGGCCTGTGATTGGCTTGCAACTATACCCAGGGTGTGCTCCAGCGTACAACCACTGGTACACAAGTGCATCACTCCCCACGTACACTTCAGCTGTATTTAACTTCTTAGTATGTTTTTGGTACATGGGAGTAATACGGTGAAGTAGTCCAGCAAACATGTCACCTTCACCCAGGATTGCCAAATTGAAAATTCCCCGTTTTAAACACACGACAACATAACTATAGATTGAAGTGTCAGTCAGCCTCAGATGATCGCCAAGGCATCATTATCATATGTAGACGAATGACCTCCGACCCCAAGTAGATCTCCCGGTGGATGCCCTCCCTCTCCCCTGATGGGCTGAGTCAAGGGCACGCTTGAACGCCCCCACCCCCTAAGGGTCACCGAGACACCATGTCATTAAAGGCGTCCTGATGTGTGGTGACATTAAATAGCAGTATTTTTCAATTAGCGCTGACAAATTCAATCAAAGTCGCATAGATTAGCGGGAACGAGCCGCGGCTCATTTACAGGCAATTTTAATTGCGCTGCCATTACACGAGTAGAGCACGGCCTAGCTCTTATTATCAATCATGCAGAGCATCAATAGTAAAAGGTTGGAAAGGGAGGGGAGGGGAACGGTCCTGTGAGTGTCGGCGTGCGCGCATGGCAAGCGCACACGCCACTGCTCAGCCACACTCCACACAGCAGCTAATAAATAGTCACTTTTGTACTTATAAATTATCCAGTTTAATTAACAACAGGGATTATGATTGGACGATGATTTAATTAAACCTTTCCTGCATGCAAGGAGGGTGCTGCCGTCATCCATTACGGACAGAAAAGGGGGAAGGAGGGGGGGTTTGGCAGAGAGGCGCTGAAAAGAGCGGCTTAATGCTTATCTTGTGGCATCACTGCCTAAATTACAGTGGTGCCTTCACTTTAATTTCCATAACACAAAACATTTGTATCGCAAATCATCAAACACTGTGGTTGGCTGGCAACCGGTTCAGGGTGTCCCCCGCCTACTGCCCAAAGACGGCTGAGATAGGCTCCAGCACCCCCCGCGACCCTTGTGAGAATAAGCGGATCGGAAAATGGATGGATGAAATCATCAAACACCATCGAACTGAATGGAAATGCTATTACTCCGTCACAGCCTCCAGAATACAACACACATTTTTAATGTTTTAATTCAATGAACATTGTACTGCTCCTACTGGTATGCATGCCTTGGCCACAAGGGGGCAGGATTATTTTCATATATATATATTTATTTGAAGACGACAGTTGCAACAAAGTTAATATTAGTAATATTTCGCAGAGGATAAAGAATATATGCTTGTGAGTCTTGTTATATTGTCAGCGTTTATAACTACAGCAACATTTAGTTACCCCATCTATGGCATTTCCCAATACAGTGGTGCCTTGAGTTTATACAAGCTGTTGATCTGACACCTTTTTGCTTTGAATAGTGAGCGGAATTTGAGATACAAGTGCTACATGGGATATAATAAGCTGAGTAAGGGCTTGTATTTCAAAACCTTTTAAATTTGGTCACTTTTAAGTTAAGGCACCTCTGGAATGGCTGACTTTCCCCAGTACCCTTCCACCCCCCACCTCTTCTGGCGTTTAAATCTCCAGCTAAATGGCATCTTTGCTCATATTACTGCATGTAAAGTGGCGAGGACGTGGCGTAAATCCATTAGCTAGCTCAGCCAGCTGATAGGAACAGATGCACGAAGGGTCGGGTGGATGTGGGAGGAGTATGCATGGGGGGGGCGTCTTCGCCCTGAGCGCTGGTGCCACTCGGCGACATTCAGTGAAGGCGTAGCAGCGTGGCAGTATCAAACCATTTCATCAGCTTCCAAATGCCAGAGTGCATTTATTCATATGCACGCCTCCTGAATGCCGCCACGCAGCGAGAAGACGCTTCAGGCTTTAAAATATAGTGAGTCAAAAGTGTACATTTACTGTGGACGAGGAGTCTGAATACAAACATGCTAGCCTGCTTACAAATTGCCCCCTGGAATCTCTGTTATTATTTGTTATACTCACTCACCGGTCATCAGGCCGACTTTGATTGATGTTAGTAAAGGCCCAATTGTTAGATGTATGTAAATGATGATCCTGACGGATTATTCTGGAGCAGGGGTGTGTTAAAAGTGATTATTCCTTCCTGATCTGCTCACCGAAATTGTTACCTGTTCAGTATTTACATTTGGAAATTGTTACAATATGTGGATATTCAACATCCACACATAACATAAACAAAATGTCCATGTCATTTGACAATAAGGCAGAGCCACTGAGAAAACAGGGGGAAAGCCTTGAGTGATGACTTTAGCCTTCTTCTATAGCGCTGTCTGAAATAGCACACTGTCTCTACTAGCAGGCTAGCAATTATGTTTTTCAAAATTACAAAGTACTGAAACACAACCCAAGTAAACATTTTATACAGACCTTTGAGAAAACGTACTCAGCAAACCCAAAGATGGAAGTTTAATTTCCAGTCTCTCCCTTTTAGAAGAGGGTACTACGTTTTGCTCGGTTCTCTGTACAGCTCTATACGTTTACGACATCCGCTTGATTTAACCTCCTCCCTCACAGGTGATGTGAATGAAAAATAAAACAAATCGAAACCTTTTGGAGTATATCTGGTTTTAGTTCATATTAGTGGTGGTCTTGTCACTGAGGGTCCCCTTACTAGCGCTTGCTGGCTGGTAAGGTCACTAGGGGCCCCCAAGAGATGACTAATATTGGTCCAAATCAACAACCAAATGTGTTTTGTTTTGTTTTGTTTTTTTCTTGAGGGCAGCCTCCATTCTATTGTGCTGTGCTGAGCCTCAGGTTTCTTGGTTCAGTGTGTGTGTGTGTGTGTGTGTGTGTGTGTGTGGGCAGGTCTTGATTTTTGTGGGTTCTTTTGGAGTGGGGTGGCTTGGCTTGTTTTTAACTCATGTGAATTTACATGAGTTGCATATCTTGTAAGAAAAGTGCTAAACAAATGAGGATTGATTGAGTGATTGACTGACTGACTGACTCTTGCCTGCGGCAACCAGTGTTTCTAGAAATGCCATTGTGGCTGAGGTATGGTTACATGTAGTATATGTAAATGTGTGTGTGGTAATACCAGTAACAACAAGCATGACAAAAATGTTTACAGTCAAATGGGGCGTCTGTCACATTTTAAAGTGACTCAAAGGTGTTAAAATTATGATTTCATCATCAGGCAGGCTTGAAAGCAACAATAACAATATGTTTGTGGTCGCTCAGTAATGTGAATCGAAGGTAGCCGAGCGACAGGAGGTGCATCTGCAGCTTGAAATCAGGTGTCAGTGCCCCCTGCTGCTCAATCTTGGGCCACATGCTAATTGCTGTGGGAACGCTGTCTCTAAATCAGTGTTTCCCATTCATTTATTGAGTCAAGGCACATGTTTCACATTGGTAAAATCTCACACACACCACCAAACAAAAATGTCATGAAATGAATATGATATGGTCTCAATGTACAGTCAAATGTACTGATTACTTAGTTGAATATAAAGCTATTATGTTGTTGTATGATTGGCAACAGGTGAAGATACAGCTTAATAGGAACTTCTGCCGTCGAGCAGAAGATAATTGAATATTTCTGCCTGGCACAGGAAGATGAACAAAGACGCATTACTTCTTGCCGATAACTTTGTGGTTAGCAAGGGGGTGGGATAGGTGGTTTCGGTTTATGACATCCATCACCGTGCATCAACTTTCTAAAAGCAGCAAGCAGCTGTGCATTGGCCCGAATGACTGTAATTACACTCACAACACAGGCGTCCCCCCCTCTTTAGGCCAAAGCATGTCAAGGCGCTCTGCTCCACCTTTGACCACTGGCAGGTAAGTACACACTAGCGCCCATGTTAAACCCAAAGAATTAGAGACATCCATATCAAAGACAGACACCAGTTGAAGTGTCCAGACGCTCAAGCAGCGACTTTGAGACAAGTTAATTAGATCTCAACTTGTCTCAAATGCTCGTTATCCAATTATCACCCATGGCCTCCAGTGAGAGGACGTGAGGAGCCGGTTGCTAAAATTGGGTTAGCGCCGCCTCGTCCTGCTGGCTTCCGCTGGTGTGAGCGCCCGATGAATAGTTGCCTTGTTTCACTGTCCTCTTTTCTCTGAAGGAACGTCTGAGAGCATGTTGAGCTGCAGGTGATGTTCGACCGTGTGACCGTTTGTGTTAACAACGTTGCTTGCACTCGGGTATCCAGAGGAAACGTCAACGGGCATGTTGACCCCTGGGCCCTTGCTCGGGCCTTTGATGGAACAGCAAGCACTGGTAAGAAGCGAACACAGGCGTCCCCTTGCTGCGTCTGACATCATTAGCCGGGAAAGAGACGATAGCACCGCCGCTAATGAGCCCTGGTAGCATTATTAGCGACATGCTTGGCACTCAGCCTTCCGCTCATTGCTAATGGAGTGAACAAGTCGGAGAAGGAGCCCGTTAAGGTGGGGTGTGGATTCCTGATCACCGGGTGAAATCTTCTGAACGGCATCGTCATTTAGGACAGCTTGGCTCACTTGCCATTTTGTCTTCCTGTTTGCTTATGGCTGGATTTACCCTGCAGGTCCAAGGCCAGGCCATTTTCTCCCCATTAATCCCTATTTGTGTGGGATAGGGACCAAACCCAGCAGCGAATGTCTAAAAAGCATCAGTAATTGACACCCCTCTAAAATTGTTCATTATTGCTTATAGAAATAGTTTAAGTACACTACAAACTATGGTCTACATCATTTTTAGAGACTCTGTAAAGCAGAGATGCCCAACCTTTTCTGATCGAAATTCTACTTTTCAAGCCTCCCGCAATCGACATGAACAGAAAAATTAAGTAGACACAAGAGTTTGTGAAGAGGAAATCACTGTCTACCTTTGGAGAGACCGGACGCGGAGGCTTGGGATGCAATTTTGCAGCGTGTTAAATGCATGAACATCACTATTGTAAGTCATGTGTACCGTTTAAAAATGATTCTCCAGGTGCTCCAGATTCCCATTCTTTGCCAGTTCCATCGGTGAATTGTACATGAAACAAAAATTGAATTAGAATAATTATAATAATAATTAAAAAAGATATACAGCAACAGCTCTGATCGCAAGCTGCAATTGCACACTGCTGACTAATAATTTCCGGTGATGCAGATCATGCGCCACCATACATTCAAGGTGACCGGCTTTTTAATTAATTCTTTAAATACTTTTTTTGTGAAAGTTAAACTGAAAGGTTACTTAAGGTGAAGCGTGCGCTACATCATTTTTTTCTATTTCCCCTTATCTCCCTCGCAATCAACTTGTTACCAGTCCATGGGCTACCGGTTGATTGTGATCGACGTATTGGGCACCCCGGCTGCAGAGAATTCACTGATTTATTTCGAGTTAAAACGGGAGAGGCTCAGTGATGCACTTCGGTCGCAGCATGAGTCACCTCTCCCTTACTAAATAAGAACTTCAGCGGCTACGTTCTTATCAGCGATTATCCAGTATAATAGTGATATGAAGTGAGCCAGGTAGCTATGCCTATACCACAAAAAATACATCTTCCCTTCAGATACTCCATTGGCATGGCCGCTTTAGAGCGCCTCGTTGTCAGCCGTGAGTGTGCACATCTCGTGCAGAGAAAAGTCAAAGAGCACAGGGGGGAGGGATGAAAAAAAAAAAGTCCAAGTTGACAGCTAATGTGTGGCCCAGCGCTTTGGGCTGACGTGGTTACTTAAGTGCCTTGTTCACAGTTGCAAATGCATGGATGGCAGAAGAGTGAGATAATTAAACAAATAAGCAAACAAAAACAAAACAACAACGTGACAATAATGTGGGAGACAGGTGAAAAATGTAATGGCCTGTTTTCTGGGTTTGGTCATGTGATGTTTGCAACCTTAGCCCATAGGCCTGGGTGTCCAAACTTTTTCTTCTAAGAGCAACATCCAGAAACAAAAATCAAAGAATGCAAAGGCCACTTTGACAGTATTCACCTTGTATTTGTTTATATGCCAAAAACAATCCAAGCAAAATACTGTAGCTAGGTGCTGATGCGAAAAAGTGGAGTTTTTTTTCAGATTTTTGGAGGACCACTCGAACATATCAGCTCCTGCAATGAGCAGCAGCAGAATATCTTCAAGTTCACATTCAGAATCAAAACAAGAGCAGAGAGATTACCTTAACTTGGAGCAGAAAGTGGAGCAAATAATCGCGGTTCATGCTATTCACTACTGTAACTGAATTATCTTTTCTCATTAGGGCACCATGAAAAGAAATTTTGTTACTAATATAGAGATGGGTACTTGGCAGAAAACAAGGAAGTGACAGATTACCACCCCGTGTAGAAAATAAGTTGTAAAATTTTGTCCAAAGACATGGGCTCTATCAATCGGGAACTTTTGCATATGCCATAGGCTGCAAAAATTTGCATGGTGGGCCACAAATGGCCCCCATGCCATGGTTTGGACATTAGTCGACAGCAGGTGGCAGGAGATGGCAAAATGGCCGCCCCATGAAATGGATAAAAATGGGTGGATTTTTCTGCTTAATTTAATTTTACACAAACGCAATGTTAATCAGAATACAGTTTGTTGTAGAGGGCGCATAGAACATATTAATACCCTTTAAGCCGGCGTGACATCTATTCAAATTTTGTCAGTTGAGAATAAAAACAAAAACAAACGGAATTGTGTCTCTTGAAGCGTGCAGTGTAAATCCATCCTACACGTATCAGACGTCATTTAAATGTAGCATCTTTACGCTCTGTCAAAGATGCAATCAAATGTCCCAAGTACTTGGCCTGATAAGAATCCTTCCCATTGCGGGGGAATGCTGGGAGATGAAATGGGAAGAGCAATTTGGGTGTGTTTGATTTGTTCATGAATGTCACCTGTCCGTGATTGGTGACAGGAGGTGGAGTCATGTAATGGCCACGGCTGGCAAGGTCAGTGAGGTGATTGGTCGCATGATCAGAGTAGGGAGTGGGCAGGCTGGGTCGAGGTCACCGCTGATGACTGCTGTGATTCACTCACCCACACACGAACACACACATGTACACACACTCACCACACGGTACAACAACACTGGAAAGAAAGCTCACGTTTAATTGATTGTTGTTGACGTGAGCTCCCCCTCTAATGACAGTACAGTACAGTCAAAAATTGTGTCACCGCTGCTTACTGCGTGCTGCTAGTTCACGTGATTTTTGTCACGTGAGAGGCTCAGCTCAGTCTGGAGGAGAGCTGTGTCTTCTGGTAGAAAACAGGTTGAAGGTCGTTCAAGGCAGCTGTTGGGTCAGCTGGTGGCTAATCACAGAGAGTGACAGCCAGGAGGCTCCCACATCTTCAGGGCTCCTCTGGAACCCGATTCACCTAGCGACCTTCCCCTTTCCCACTTTTCTAGAAAACAGTGAGGAACATTTTTGAGTGTGGATTTTTTTTGGTGTTTTTTTTTTTTTTTTTTTTGCCTTGAACAAGTGTCATCAACAGCTTAACGTCAACATACATGGGCTCACAGACTTGAACACGGTGTGAACGCCTTGGGGAAAGTCTTGACTTCAGGTTGTTATTGGAGATGACCTCATTGAATGTCGCTATAGTTGGTTGTGTTGTTTAACATCTAATATTTGCAATATTTAAGCGTAGGAGTAAGTCACATAAGTCTCAAGTCTTTAAGTGTATTGTCTCAAATCTTCAAGGTTGAAGCAATACTATGGAAGTCTTTCTGTCCCCGATTTCGGTTCAGTGTCAGTTTGAGAAGCTTGATGGCTGTCGCACTGCTTCAATGCCCAGTACAATTGACGCTATCCATGGCAAGTTTCTCGAGACAAGATCTGTTCTTGGCAAACCACACAGTTGGGGCTTGCTACTCCACTGATGGAAACACCAAAATCCAAGAGCAGGACATCGTACAAAGCCAAGGAAAGTCTATCAGTGGCGGCGTGGGTGGAATCAGAATCATCAAAATCTTGATTTAGCGTATGCTTCAGAAACAGATAAAGTTTCACCCAAATGGGCTTAATGTTGCTCAGAGGCTTCACCTGAAAGATTATGATGCTCAACGACATTCTCTTTTTACAGATTTTTATCAAAAGCATTATCCTTGAATTGAAAGCCATTGTAATGATTTTCAGAGTTCCCTACATATAATTTGTTTATTAGGTGGCCTGTGTACTCTGCATCAGAGCATATGTGTTGCCAGCTTGGTGCAACATTACACAAAAAAGAAAAAAAAAATCTTTAAAAACAGAACACATGGCATACTATCTTGCAAATACAGATTTCAAAAGTCGAAAGACTTTCAAGTCATGTACAGTAGCCGAGTCCAAATCAAATTTCATTAAAGTCTTTAGCCAAGCAAGTCCTGATTGGAGTCAAGTCACGTGATGGGTATCCTTCTACTACTTCTGCCAGTATTTCCCAGCACTGTGCTTTCTAGGACATGAGGAGGCACCAAAGTTGGAGCAGGACCACCCTCACCCTGCGCCAGTGTGCAAGCGATATTTATGGCTCAGCATCCGAAAACAGGTGAGCCATGATTGATAGTTACCTGAGCAACTGTGATGTCATTTTCGGTTAACAGAAGTGGCAAAATGGCCGCAACCTGAGATGACTAAAAATGAGTGGATTTTGCCGCTTAAGTCATATTCCACAAACACAATATTCATCTGAATGCTGTGTTGAGGCAAGTGGAAGCGCATAGAAGATATTGCAGATAAATGATTTGCATTGAGGAAACAGTGGCAGTATGGTGGCGTGGCGATGATATATTCGTGGCTGAGGTCAGGTTCCTTCAGTGATCACTGAGAGATTCACGTCAATTGTGGCTGATCAATAAGGCCAGGTGTGCAAGGTGCACACAGGAAGTTATAGTCCAAATATGTAACAAATTTGTTTAGCTTCTGGTCTGAAAACAAACTCGACCTAACAACACAATGTCAGACGTCTCACTGAGGAGATGTTTGGCCTCAGGGATCCACAAACATGAATAGAATGTACACGTGCATGTATACACACACAGACACAAAGCAGCACTAATTACACGTCTCCAGGGAGCACAACTGGAGTGAACACTGCAGCGTCTTCTTGCTTAAGGGTCTTTTTAAGGCGAGGAGGGCAGCGATGTGGACAATCGCTGAATAATTCGATTTAGAGCAGAAAAAGGTGAGTTTGTGTCAGTTGGTTGAGCCCACCTGGTCCGAGACACAAGGGAGACCATCATCTTGTTTCACCTTCCAGAAGCAGTGTCAAAGAACGTCATGTCAAACGTGGGAAACGTAAAGCTTCAAAATCAGGTCGGAATAGTTTTGACCATGTGACCTGAAGGAACCCTCCCCCCGACCTCCCACTCACATCTTGTTGTTTGGGTATGTTTGAGAAGTGGGTCAATGTCTCATGGAAGCATAAGCTAATTAGCCACTTGGGCGGGGGACACATTAGCTGTCTTTGTACATGTGCGTGTGTTCATTTAAACAGTTCATTGATGTACATTCTGCCATCTAGTGGAACCGCATTTAATTGTTCTGTCTGTCACTATACATCGCGAACACAGATAGACAAACAAGCATGTGGAGTCAAACATTTTTGCAGGTGGAAAATTGGCAATTGCATTGATTGACCAGTAGTGAACCTGAACGCAATAAACAATTACATTGGAACAGAATGGGCCGGTTCCCTTACCGGCAGTCTTGACATCAAAATACTCCGGCCAAACAAACATAACCATATTGTCACTACCAAATAACAATAATAGTTCAAAGACATCCATCAATTTTCTGGAGTGATTTTCATGTGCAGGATCACTGGTGAATCGGAGGCTATCGCAGCTGACTTCAGTTGAAAGGATGACTACACCTTGGATTTATCACCTGTCAATCTCAGAACACTTAGAGATGAGTTAGCTAAGTGTACCACTGCACCATCAATGGCCGCTTCAATTACATTCGATGGCAATTTATGAGACATCCATCCATCCACTGAGACCACAGCAACGTTTTGTGAGCAGTGTACAGTATGTGCAAGTCATAAGAAAGTCTCACTCTTTAAAAAGTGGGCTCCCCGTTAAATTTCGAGCAAGTCGTATAAAGTCGCTACTTGGGTTAAGCAAGTTGTCACTCATGTCATACAATCCGACTGAGTCTCAGCATACTGTATATTCGCACCTTAGCCACTTTGTACAGCATACTGGTGAACTCTTGGGTTTGTGCACGCAGTTGCACACAACCCGAAAAATAACCATCAATAAATAAATAAAACTACAGTAATTGTGCGCTGTATTGAAAATTCCTATTTTCAAATGTAAATATGCTTGACCTGTCCAGTCACGTAGTTCAAGTCTAATTCAAGTGACACCTACTGAATACAAATTTGGAGTCTTTCATCGCTTTTAGCCAATCAAGTCCTAAAAATTGGAAACTTCAGTCGGACAGGACAGGAGTCAAGTCATGTGACTGTAGTCCCCCAGTCAGTGGAGTTGCTGTTGGAAATGTGACATGACCCGTGTGAGCGTTTCTTGACAGACTTTTGGACCAGTTGCAATTTTCTAATGCATTTGTTTGGTTATCGCCTAAGTACAGTCAGTTTTATTAAACTTTTTAGTACAATACATTGCATTTAATCTTTGCGCTGTTTCTTCTTAAACTATTTATGTGCCTTATCTTTAGAGTGCAATATTGTTTAACTGAATCGTTGAATACAATTATTACTATATTATTATTATGAGTAGTAGTAGTAGTATTTGCGATATTTAAACACGGTGTTAATGTACAAAATGTGCTACTTCTAAACCTTAAGTTGTTTTTTTAGGTGGTACTTGGAAAGCTACAAAGTTTGAGAACAATTTGTATAGTGGAGAATAGAATAGAGTAGAGTTTGGGCGCCTCTCAGCAACAATTCCTTGTCCTACGGCGCCTTCTGCTGTCTAAATACATGTACTATAAAGTAGAGGAGGAAACAGTGACGTTGGTGGTCATTGGCGGTAGTGCAGGCGGAAGCTGGCCACCTGTTGGGGTCATCGAGGTATATACGTCGTCTCACCTCATCTCGTCAACTTGACCATCGAAGTCCACCAGTTCCTGGAAAGTTTCCAGTCACGGCGTTGCTTTTGTCGCTAGCAAGAGCGCAAGTACATGGATAAACTAAAGAAGGTGCTGAGCGGTGAAGATGAGGATAATAACACGGACGAGAGCGGAATACTGGAGGTGATGTCAAGCAGCGCAGCTCTTTTTAGCTTTGTTGTTAGCCTCCAAAGGCTAATCACAGTTCAGCTGTCAAAATAATGACTTGACGCTTCACCTTTTACATACGTAACAGATGTTATTTTGGAAGAATTTAGTTTGTTCGTTTGGAGTTTTCATTGCAACCATGCATCATACATTAGTTTAATGTTCAACTCGTCCAAACATTTCATCGATTCTCTGGAAGTGTGAACGAGACATTACAATAATAAATTAGAGTAAACAAAAATTGGACAAGTGCCGTTACTTTTGAAAAACATGACTTAAGTACTGTTATTACCTGAAAAAGTTCTCAGTCAAAAATACTACTCAAGAATTGAGTAACTTTTTCAGTAAAGTATGATTACTTATTTTTGAAACCGGTTCACCAACCTGTGCATGAACGTCAAATAGACCAAAAGGAATTAGGAATGTGCAATTTAAGATTTTGCCCAACAATATCATTATAACAAAAACTAATTGAGGCAAATTCAGATGCTAGAAATTGTCTTAAATTAACTTACTTGGTTTACATAAATTTAGAATTAGAAAGTACAATAAGATCATCAAGCAGAGATCAGATTACATAAAAGACGACTGTGGTTTTTTTTCAAGCTTTAAGTGGAAGTCTTGTCGGCTGAAATGTGCCACTGTTTAGGGACACGTAGATGATAGCACATGACATGGCTCAGTGGTAGACAACCGCTGACTATTCAATTCACAGGGGGTCATCGGTTTACGATGGAGTTACACCCAACCCTAACACAGTTGCATAGTCCTAATTACAATAAATATGTGCATGAAAAACCTCTCCATAATATGCCAGAAATATGAAAGAATCCATTGTTAAACAACACTTAGTGTGTGGTCTTTTGCACGATGACAAAGTATTCTTGCATTGCGGCAAAAATGTGCTTCATTGTGCAATGGAGCCTTGGAATGTCATAATTACAGCAAGTGCAATATTTGCATGAAAAACTGTTGCAGGCCAAATACACAAAACGATCAAAAGAAAACCATTAAGTACAGTCGTAAATGGGCATACCGCCTGGTTTTGTCGCATGACCGCGCTGCTGGTTAAATGAAAATATCGGGATTATTGAAAAACGACGACCCCGTGTACACGGCTTATCTTTCTCAGGGAAGTTGGAGCCTATCCCTCCTGACAAAGGGTGAGAACCATGCTGCACCCTGTACTCATCACTCATCAAACACAGGACGAGAGATATTCAAACATGCACCCCTGAGAGGGAATTTAGAATCTTCAAACAGTGAATTAACCTAACATGTTTTTCTCGTTTTGAGTTAACGGTGAGAACCACTCGGCCACTGCAGTAGTAATTAGTTTTGAAATACTGAAACGGCAGTATGATGCAAATGAGTTTCTGTAATTAATTCTTTGGACCAACCTGCGTGTGTTTAGTCAAAATTATGATGATGTAATCTCTCCAGAGAGCCAGTCAGGCATCGACGTTGGCCTGGGGGACAAGGATGAAAGGCTTCCTACTGTGTTTCATTTTGGGGATTCTGTGCTCCATTCTGGTGAGTGGATGTGGCTGTGATGTTTTGTAGGCAGCTTCTTGTGTGGGGCTGTCCAAACTTTTTCTTCCAAGGGCCACATACACAACAAAGGAAAGAGGGCTACTTTGATAGTCTTCATTTATATTTTACATAACTCGCTAGAATTCATCAGTGTAAGAAAAGAGATGCAAATCAATGATCCATTCTTATAGAACGTGTGTGTGTGTGTGTGTGTGCGCGCGCGCGTGCGTGCGTGCGTGCGTGTGTGTGTGTTAGAAAAAATTCTAACAATAATAACGTCACACTGATAGCATGCAGCACCCAAAAGAAGTTCAATGAACATCCAAGCCGAGCTTCGGTGCTTCTTACCAGCTGATGCGTGATTGTTGGAAAACGAGGAAGTCTTCATTCATTACAGTACACGCGAGCCTCAAAAAAAAAAAAAAATTCGGATAATGATGCACAGAAAATAGTTTGGACACCCCTGTTGTGGGGAAATAATAATCCATCTTGTTCCCTTGCGTTGCTCCTTTCATGGTCTGTGCCTGTTTTATTTCAGGGCACATGTATGCTGTGGTTGCCTGGGTTTGGTCTCGCTGTGTTCGCTGTCATGTACAGTGTTGGAAACCTCTGCGCTTTATCCAGGTACACACTGTGTAATCAAACCACCTGCGCTTTCTTGATACAGCACGCAACGTGCCTGTCTCTAATGTGGTTTCAGCACCATGTTCCTGATAGGACCGTGCAGACAGTTAAAGAATATGTGTGCTAAAGAACGAGCGTTGGCCACGACCATCATGCTGGTGAGATGAGAATAATTGTGTGATTTCATGCTGTGATTATGATCAATTTTAGTGAAAATGGAATTACAGATTGATGATATGTATGTGGTTAGCTTGGTGATAACCTCTCTCTCTCTCTCTCTCTCTGTCTGTCTGTCTGCAGGTATGTCTGGTGCTGACGTTGTGTTCAGCTTTTTGGGTGAGAAATTCATGTCACTGTTTGACAGGCATGACATGTACGGTGAAACTCCTCTACAACGAAACCTACATGGGCGAAAATACCCCCTAGTGTGAAAAAAAAAATTCATGCATGAAAGCCATTCCCACTTTTCTTCTCGCCCTACGACGAAATGTCCCCCTGTTCCATTATACGCTTTGCTCTTGCCTCGCAACGAGATTCACTACAAGGAAAACAAGCCTTCCGCAAAAGTCTAATCCAACAGCGACCTCTACTGCTTCGTTCGGAAACGGCAACAGCAACCACTACACTGGTTTACACATGCGCAGTAGTCCAGGAGGTATTTGTTACTGTTAATTTCAGACGCAGCACGAACGTTGCATTGCTAAAATGGCTATGAAACGGACCTTTGCAGACCATGGCTCTTCACAAGTAGTTAAGAAAAGAAAAGCATTCACGCTTGAATACAGGATAAAAGTAATAAAAATGAAAGATGGAGGAAGCAAAGTAAAAGACATTATGCAAGAAATTGATGTAAGTGGAAGCTTTAATTTTTGTTATTATCCATTAATCTTTTTTAATGTACCTATTTTACACACACACACACAAAAAGAAAACTTAAGACAAGATGAAGCACATTATTCTTTCTGGATTAGGATGTGTAATTATAGTCTGGGGCTGGCTTCCGCCGACACAACAACCTAAATCTGCCTTTCTCCACAGAAGTTTGGTTGAGCTAGTTTGATGTTTTATTGATTTATATATTAGTTAGTTCAAAGTGTTTACAGCTGACAAGAACCATTCCTCGTCTTGAATAAAATGACGCGACCAAACAATGTCATAAATACTGGAGGTAATATTTTGCAGCATCGCGTGGTCTCTCCACCTCTTAAAATCATAATTGTGTCATTCATTGCATGATTCAAGCCATTAAATAACACTGCATTCATTAAAATAAAATAAAGGCCAGCGTAGAGCCCAAAGGTTTATTGAGAATATGCTGACTGATTATATATGGCCTGCGGTCCCCACGTTGGACACCCCTGATGTTGGCGTTGCATAAATGAACTGACCTCTGTCTCCCTCTAGTGGAATAACAACGGCCTTGCCTTGCTCTTCTGCGTCTTGCAGTTTGTGGCGTTCAGTTGGTAAGCTTTGGTGCACATGTGTAGTGGCATATTAGGGAAGGGGTGCGCCCGGGTTCATGTTTCTCAAAGTAAATGCACGGTTTCCAGTCAAGTTTAATTTTAATGACATTTGTAATAATATTCAGTAACAATAATAATAATAACAACAATGAGGGACCCAAGGATGCTTTACTCTGCAAATGCTCTACAATTTTTTACAGAATACATAGGCACGTAAAAGCCATGCCCGCCAT